CAGTTCCGTGCGCCTACCCGGAAGCTAGATTGCCTCGAAACCAATCACCCCTATGTATAATAATTGGCGAAAAATATAATTTTTCTCAACATATATCATGTAGTAAACCGTACATTTATATTATTTTATTATTTTTGTGAATAATAATAGTACACTTTTTTTATAGAATTTTTTAATTAACAGTGGATGCCATATTCTTGATCCCAAATGAAAAGGGTCGCATCAAATAAGCTTTTTAGCTAAAGACCCACTCACCAAACATATAGCCTCCCCTAGGGTTGGGATCAAACCCACTTTAAGGACCCGCACTTATTGGATTTCCTCAATTTTATAAATTAAATGACCGACATTTTTTATAGAAGAAAAAATGCTTCATTATATTTGATTATAACTATATCATGTACTCGAATGCTAGACCAATTTAACTTTTTGAGAAATGGATAATGACATAAATGATCCCTGAATTTTGGTCAAATGTGCAATATGATCCTAAATTTTCAATTTGTTCAAGTCCTAGACTTTTGATACATGTTCAACTTAGTTCAATATTGTCATTCTATTAATTCAAATTCAAGCACAATATTGAATAAATTAAAAGTTCAGGACCATATTGCACATTGGATTAAAGTTTAGGGACCACATTGAACAAATTAAAAGTCCAGGGTCCACATTTGGCCAAAGTTCAGGGACTATATACAAGGAAATTGTCCGATAAATCCTAACCCTATTGTACGAAGTTTATTCATTCTTAGACTTTCTCTATTTGCCAATTTAGTCCTAAATATTTGTGTGAAATTTTAATGTGGTTCTTCTAACCAAATTCCTCTGGAAAATGGCTGATGTGGCGGTGTGCCACGTAGGACGGTCGGTGACTAAATCTCTACGTCAGCAACTTCCAATGGAAATTGGACTGGAGAACTGCATTATAAGTATAAGAATTTAGGATTGAATTGACATCTGTACAATAATTTTATGATTGATCAGGTAACTTATCCCGAAAATAATTTTTCACTATGACATCGAGGTTCAAATCTTATAGTGATATTAAAGAAGTAAGTTTTCTTTTTCTTGATTATTATTTAGATATGACCTATATATAGGGAGACAGCACTAACGGCATCGAGGGCACGCACTTGCGAAAGGGAATGCCTCAAATAATGCAAGGCAAAAAACATCTCCAACTCAAAAACGACAAATCAAACGGCACGACACATGTCGGAGAGTCGCCAGACATGTTCTGCTCTCTTCTGCTACAACATCTGTGCCTGTGCCCCGGTAGCGTGCATGCTTTCTTGTTTTTTTTTCTTCGTTCCCACTTTTCTTCATGGAATTGGAATCTGGGGCAGACACGTGTCGCGTCTTTCCATGCCATTGCATGGATGTCCTCGCTCTGCTTTGCGAAGTTCGAAGACACCGGGAGGAAAAAACAAGGAAAAGAGAAGTAAAAGGTACATTAGGGGTTTGTTCCTTGTTCTCTTTCCCTTTTTGGAGAATCCCACCATTGTTGTCTGGTCTGTGTTTGGTTGCAGCAGCAAAAGACTTTGCAGCCATTTCGGGCAAAGTTGGTTGATGGAAAGAAGTCAAGAACTGTTCGGGACAGGCTGACGAGGTTTCTCCCTGTTGGCAACTGAGTTCTTGCTGTGTGAGTTGCTTTTAGATAGACATAGGAGCAGATGGTGTTAGTTGATGTTGGTTGATGGTGAGTTGCTTTTTTTGGGAAGGTTTATGTCATCAATTGGGTTGATGGGAAGGAGATGACTTGGCTGCGTTTTTGCTCTTTTTAGTCTCGATGATGTTGTTTAGGTATGTATAACTTTGATGTGATTGCGTTTGGGTTCGGTCATTCGATTTTGTCGTCGATATAGTTTGTCTCAATTGATGATTCTTTTCTATACATGTTAAACGGTAAACATCATGGGCGAGGGCCTCTGTCGCGATGGTCGCTAAGCGCTTGGGTATAATCTATCACTAAAATATATCGATGTTCTACGAAATTTGACATGTGAGGAAATTTCGCACCTCCCAAAAAATAAGACTCCATACATCTTCGTACCACTCCTGATCCTAGTCGGGATATTTTTGGGTTCACCGCTACTTACACAAAGGTCATGCTTCTCCTCTAATCTTTTTGTCCCATCACTTTTATAGCAAAATTCGCTACAACTCATCATAATTCATGCCGCTCTTATCAAAACTGATAAAGTTGATATGCAAAACGGACATAACATGTAATGGTCAAGACTCTTTTCGATTTCAGTGCAAGTCACTAGTTTCGAAAAACCGCGTGTGATTGTCTACCTCATCATCTAGTAAACTAGTTTTACACACCGATCCCGATGTACACATGACATTACCCTTTTGTCATTTACTGTTCATGGATGCCCTCTGGTCCCCTAGCTCACCGAGTGGCGGTGGGATAACGAAGACGATTAGCTCCAAGATAAGTAGGTGGATGACTGAACAATGACGACGATGACATCGAGATCTCACTCCAAAACGCCCTGTTCGGTCTGAACAAAAACCAGATAACGCTGGACATTTGAGCCAAAACCACAGCTTTCTCTAGAAAGATACGGCATTGCCCTAAATGGCAGCTTCTCGTCCTTGTTCGTCCGGCTCTTAAAGCCTCTTCAACTGCCAACCTAATCAATGCTTTTGCGGTATTAACTTCTCGCGCGATCGTGATCACCGACCAAGCTATTCAAATTAGGGCTTAAGTGGAGGGTTTGGATTGGATGTCCAAAGTCAACGCTCTATGCATACCATTTCACAGCTTCGTCTCGCGCCCTTCTTAATGGCTCCCCATTGCGTCGTTCTCGCTTACGGATGGGGGAAAGACTGCTCGTGCATGTCGTGTGGGTCGGAGAGTCTGATGGAAAAGAGAGGTTCTAGATTGATGGGTAGAGTTGAAATTTGGTGCTTTGATATGGGCATGAAACTGGAAATCCTATCTTGAAACCATACCCATGCACGCCCCGAGCCTGAGCGACGATGGCTCGAACACGGCCTTCGTATACCCAGAGCTAAGTGCTAGGGACCAGAGCTTGAGCATTAAGGACACGAGCATGGCCTTTATGCACCCGAGCTCCGGTGCCGTGGCATCAGGCACGGGCACCAAGGCTTCGGGCCCTGTCTTAATGGACATGGGCGTAGGTATCGGGGGCCCAGGCGTCAAAGACCTAGTCGTAAATGTCAAGGACTCGGGAACCAATGTTAGGGTTTCCATACTTAAGCGTAAAATTTCAAATCCAAGGAACGATATCTAATCATATTTTGAAAAAAATATTTTTTAATTTTTCAGAAAGGAAATTCATTAACCTATGGTTGACTTGTGGAGTCATTCTTCTGTCCCTTTTTATTTTGTCCTTTTGGCTTGATTATCAATTTGATTGGATGGAGAAAGCTCAAGGTTGACCGAGGAGGAAGAACTAGACTTTGATACTTAGCCATGGCGGCTTATGACATACGTCTCCCTCGTGCTTGTTCTTCGGTAGACTGAAAAAGTGGAAAGAAACCTACAAATCCAAGCGTATTTATCATCAAATGATCTTATTTTTTCCCGTATTTATCCTCGAAATTTATCATTCACTTCACGAAATCAAATTATACATCATAATGAAAATACGTAATGCGGGAAGGAAGAGGTGCTCTAGGAGCTTTGAATTTCGATAAATTCATCTTGGTATAAAGATTATACGCGAAGTTATTATCCTTCGATAAACGATAAATTTGACTCTCTGAAGACTTAGGCATAGGCTTTTGGAAAAGGGTCTTGGAGATCGACAAAATTGACTCAATAAAAAAATTTCTAAAAGATTATTCTCTTTTTAATTTTCAGATTTTTGTCCAACAATTTACCATGAGGAAGTTCTAATTCCAAACCCTAATTTAAGGAAAGTAAAATTGAGGGTTAATACCATGAAAAACTCCAAATCAATACATATGTGATAAATTTGCTTTAAATTAATTTTTTGACTACCAAAACCCCCCAAACTGGTAATTTTTATGATAAATTTATCCCAAACTAATTTTTTGACCATAAAAAATCTCAAAGTGATACATTTGTGACAAATTTACCATCCGTTAGTTTCCATTAAATTATATTAATACTACGAAAAATCCTAAACCGGTACACCTGTGACAAACAGAAGGTAAAGCCCCAAACTGGTATACCCGTCAAATGTCACGCCTCATCAAACTCAGCAATTTGACAGAGAATAAATTTGTCACAGATATACCAATTTAGGGTTTTTTATGGTCAAAAAATTAGTTTGGGATAAATTTATCACGGAGGTATCAGTTTGGGAATTTTCCGTGATATTAACCCTAAAATTAAATAATATATGGCGACGCGAGACCAATTAATGTTTAACCAAACACCAACTACTATTTTTTCCTTTTTTTTTCGCCGATCTAACTCGCCATTAAATAATACACGAAAAATGTCCAGCTACATGGCCGACATAATTTATGCAGCCGACAGAAAAGTATTCCCAGTTTGGTTTTTTTATAATTTTTTTTTCACGTCGATAATGAAATGTCGCTTTACCGAAACCCTAGCAATTAAATTCGGGGCATTAATATAAACTCAAATACCCCCCCCCCCCCCCCCCCCCCCATTTCTTAAATAAATATAAAATTAATATTTCCCCATTTTCGCTCGCCATCCCGAAAAAGGAAAATAACTAACCCCGCCCCCCCCCCCCCCCCCGCGGCCCCCTCGCGTGTCCTTTTTCGTCAAAACGTGAGGAGGCGATGCGCAAAACGCCAAAAGACACACCAGAACCGGACAAAACGAGTGGCACGATCGTAATTAGTCCCCGAATCGGGGGGGGCGTTTCGATCGCGCGAAATTGGGGTGGAAATTGCACGTGGAGGTGGCGCTTGTGGCAAATTGGAATAGAATCGCAAATCCCGAGGACGAAAAAGTAAATAACAAAAAAAAGTGGGAAATTTTTTTTCTATTTAATTATTTTTCCTGTTGAATGAAAATGGGAGGAAGCGATAAGAGCTTTTCCAGCTTCGGCAATGGCGGTGTTCGACGTACGCTCTGCGCTCGCAGCATAAACCCTAAGAGAGAGGATCGCGCGCTCGCGAAGGGTGATCCATCGGCCGGAGATCCGCTCTACGGCGACCGCCGCCGGCTCCGGTCGCGTTGCTTGTCGTCCTCCGCCCTCCGCCCTCCGCCTCCGATCCTCCTCCTCCTCGTTGTTCCTTTCCGTTTCCGATGTCCGAGAGGGGGGCGGCGAGCGAGCTGAGCCCGCGCTTCGCGTAGGGTTTCTTGGCGGCCGGAGGAAGATGAACGCCAGCGCCGTCGCGAACGGGTGCGAAATCGGGGGCATGGAGCGGGAGTACATGAGGAGGCACCACAGGCACGAGGTCGCGGAGAACCAGTGCAGCTCCGCGCTGGTCAAGCACATCAGGGCTCCCGTCCCGCTCGTAATTCCTTCCTCTCGACGCGCTCGGTGTGGGACGCCTGTTTTCCGCGGTTCTGTGGATGTGGGATGGGGGGTCAAATCTGTGCGCGCGCGCGTCTCTATGCAAATGTTTGCATCAGTAGGAAGGATTTTTTTTTTTGGATAGGACTCGTCGCTTGATCTGTTTCGCGTTGATTGGTGCACCGATACAGTGGGGTCATCGATGGGGCGAGCGATGTTTTCCCGAGCTGTATTGCTTTAGCGAAGTGCCCGTGTCTCTCTCTCTCTCTCTCTCTCTCTCTCTCTCTAGATTCGCTAGTGTTCGATTGTTTTCCGGGATATGTTCTTTTTTGGGTTGAAGGGTTGGTTTGGTGTGATTGCATGCGATCAGTGTCGAGCTTCCGTACTCTCTTCCCCTGTTTCTTTCAGGAAATAGAACGAAAGAAGCTAAAGATCGACGTTTGACCGAAACCTTTTTTGTGGGAGGAATTGATCTTGGTCTTGATTTTGGGGGGGGGGGGGGGAGGGGAGGCGGTGTTGTTTTTGATTTTTGATAACGTTGGAACGTTTGTCTTTGGTAGTTGGCCCAGTTTCCTTTCTGGGTATTTTGCTCGGGAATCAGAGGAAACGGGAATCCATGCTTCTATCAGTTCATTGATTGAATTAACTAGATGGGAGATCTGGGAGTAATTAATGGCGCCAGTGACGTTATAAATGGCAAATAAAAAGTTTCCTCTTTGAGCCTTCACGCAACTTTCTCTGTATTAATTCCTTTACAATGTCTCTGCTATCGTCTGAAAATGTCAATTTGATGATTATTGTTCATGTGTCCTTTCAACCAGGTCTGGTCCTTGGTGAGAAGGTTTGATCAGCCCCAAAAGTATAAGCCTTTTGTCAGCAGGTGCGTTGTGCGTGGAAATCTCGAAATTGGTAGTCTGAGGGAAGTTGATGTCAAGTCCGGACTTCCTGCCACTACAAGTACAGAGAGATTGGAGCTTCTTGATGATGATGAGCATATCTTGAGCATTAGGATCGTCGGTGGGGATCACAGGCTTAGGGTATGTTTGTCTGCTAATTGTTTGATCTCTTGGTTCTCCTTTGGTCTTACCGTGTGTCCCATTCTTTAGCGTCCAATGTTATCATTTTTCCCAGAATTCTTCTAAAAACAGTAGTTTTCTCTTTGAAGCCCATGTAAGAGCACTCATTGTTTCGAAAGTTGATGTAGAAACCACAATTTAGCTGCTGGATCTATGCACGTCGCAATGTGTTTGATCAGTATAGGTGCTCAATCATTGTTCACATTCAACATATCAACTTTTAGAACGTATTGATATTTGTACACAGTATCTTGATACCTCACTTGACAAAAAAAGCTAAAATAATCTTTGGCACTGAGTTCTTTTGCTATATCTTGTGAAATGAATCATAATTTAGGATGACAAACCCCTTTAAGCCAGTCCCTCTAATATCTTTTTCGGGAGCAAGAGGAAATGCATCTCAAGTACACTAATTAGTACGTATGAGAGAAAAAAAGTTAGATCCTCAAAGGACAAATGATTGATTTTCCCATTCAACGAAATTTACACGATGGACTGTCTTTTAGCAGAATATATAATTACTGGCCACGGAGCCTGCAAAGGAATAGTGGATACTGTTGTACGAACATTAGATGTTGGATATCTTATGCGCAGACTTGTTGAAGTAATAAAACACATTGTTGTATGCAGAACAGATTGTGAAACCATCCGAGGGGCTTTTGTGAGTCCTCGAAATGGGATGATGTTGGAAAGAGTTTTCATGCTGCATTGAAGCCTATGCTCAATGCGGTGTTAATTTGGGAATGCAGGTTCTTAATATTCTAGGAAGCGGCCCTTTGGTGTTTGAATATGTTTTGCACAGGGCATCCTATCGTCTGATTTTGCTATTCCTTTTCTATAGTGGGATGAAACTTCTAACATCATTATTTACAATGCATACTGAATCGGGCAGAGATGATGCTTATTATTAGTGACATGTGGAGTCCCTCGTTCCGGGTCAAATTTCTATAACTTCTGGTTTTTCATTGTTTGTATTTCAGAACTACTCTTCAATCATTTCTCTTCATCCAGAGATCATTGAAGGAAGGCCAGGGACTTTGGTGATTGAATCATATGTGGTGGATGTTCCCGAGGGTAATACCAAGGATGAGACTTGTTACTTCGTTGAAGCCTTGATCAAGTGCAATCTTAAATCTCTTGCTGATGTCTCAGAGCGGCTAGCAGTGCAGGACCGGACTGAGCCCATCGACATGATGTGAACATAGAGGCCGTGATGTGTTGGCATTTTAGGTTGCTGAGGATGAAGCTTCTGAAGCTTTCCACTTGAAGAGGCTTTGGAGACAGACTGGCACTACTGTTTTCTCTAATCTCATCATACTGTCACACTCTTTTTCTCTGGGTTTTTTTTTTGGGCGCTGCAACAGTTTTTCATCACCTCTTAGAAATCATTTGCTCAATTTCATGTTTGGTGGCGCAAGAATTAGAGAATTACTGAGCCCCTTTTATGGTATTAAAGGATGAGAGAAGAAAAAGGGTCATGATTCTCCGGGAGGAGTTTGTTTCGTGCCTTTGTATATGTGCTGGATAAAGTCGTGTACATTTGCTTTCATTTGGTAATGAAAGTTGTATTCAGTACGAGGACTACTAGTACTTCTTCACGGGTTTCTAGTCTGTCTTGCAATTTGGGAAGTCTCTGTCTACTCGTGTTAGTTATCACCATAAGCGCCGTGACGATGTTCTACTGTTGTTTCGTAGCCTTTGCCGACCCCATGAGACGGGCAGTCTCGCCCCCTGCACTCATATAGGGTATCAGCGGCTTCATACGTCCTACCGCCATTGGTGGGATTGATTGGTCTCGCTGTGTTCCCTCGCATTTTCACTCTATACGCGATGTCGACAGGCGGTTTGAAGATTGGCATGCGTCGAAGTTATTCCACTCACCACCTTTCTCCATGGAAAAGGCGATTTGATAGTTTGATGTTGCATTCCTCTTACTTGCAGTGCGTTCAAAACGCAAATGATGACAGGAATCGTCCTCGCATTAGTACAGCCTATTATCCAAACAAAAAACCTAAAGACTAATGGCTCTTTTCTTTCGTAGCTCAGTTCACTGACTGTTCCCGTCTTCGCCTTTCAACCACTCCCTCCGGACTGAACTTTGCAAACAAGACGACACAGCAGTCCTTGTTAGCACCTCAATGGAGTATGTGACCGCTTTGCGATATTAATCAGGTCACCTCTAAGGGCCTATTTCCAAACCGACCAAACAGTACTTGATTCTATTCTTTTATTCCCAGAACAAAAAAAGAACGTAAATCCATTTGCTAAATTTTTTCTTCCCAGGCACAAATTTGTTTCCAGAATCAGTTTCGAAATAGAATCAAGAATTTAAAAAAAAGTTGATTCTTAATTCTAAAAACAAGAATCGGAAATGGAAAATAAATTTTTTTTTTCTTCTTCTTTTTCTTTCCCGGCCTGTGGTCGGTGGCCGGTCACAGGCCAGGGCCGACAAGGGCTGGATCTTCACGGCCTAGGCGAGGGCCGTCCTCGCCGGATTTGGCGAGGATTCGGCTAGGGTGACCCTCACCCAAGCCGCGAGGGCGAGATCTGGCGAGGGCGGCGGCCAGGGTCTAGCCCTTATCGGCGAGGGTGGCCTTGGCCTGTAGCCGGCGAGGGCCGTGATGCCCTCGCCGGCCCTGACCATAGTTCAAGGAAAGAGAAGAAGAAAAAAAGAAAAGAATAGAAAAAAAAGGAAAAAAAGGAAAAAAAAAAAAAGAAAGAAATATGAAAAAATTCAAAATATTATTAATAAAAAGAAATTTTATGCGGTTAGCAAACGCATTTCTGTTAGGAGTGTGCAAAAGAGCTGGGAACCGCCCGGACCGCCTAGAACTGGACCGGAACAGGTGGCTCCTAAGGGAATCGATCCGATTCCCGATTCCAAGTTTTGGGAACTGGTGAGTACCGGTCCGGTTCCCGATTCCAGGTATGGAACCGCCCACCCACCAACCCAGATCGGACTGGTAATATAATAATAAATATAATATATATTTATTTTAAAAAAGAAAAATCCTAAATCCCTAAACTAAACCTAACTCGCTCCACACTCACAGCCTCACATTGAGCTGAAAAACACTTCTTTTGCTTTCGCCTCATGCTTATTCTCACTCTCTTCTCAGTCTATTCTCACCTCACTGTCTCCGACTCTCCATCTCCGTCTCCATCCTTAGCTAGTGGGACCAGTTCCATGGACCCACCCGAAAATCGGATCGGATCGACGGTCCGGTTTTCGGGTGGATCCATGGAATCAACGGGCGGTTCCCGGTTCTAATGTGAGAACCGCCCACCCAAATTATGCTCACTCCTGATTTCTGTTCTTTTTCTATTCCATGACAATTTTTCCAAGACAAATCTGAATTGAATCAGTTGCATGAGATAAAAGCAAGCAAAGTACGGCCATGACCACTGTAACGAACCCCCTAAGAGCTCTCCAAGTAATAAGTCGGATGGGTTACTGTAATCCAACGGGGATCGGATGCGCAGAAGACCGCACACCAATCCGACGGGGATCGGATGCGCAGAAGACCGCACACCCCAACCTCATTCAAAAGGGCATTTTGAAAGAAAAACAAAGAAAAGTTTGATCTTGCGTATTTTGCCTTAGGAGATTCTCTCTCATGGAATGGTGTCTTGCCTCCAACTTAACGAGACAAATTCTACCTAAGAAAGGAAATCTCATACAGTATCTTCAACTAGTAGCTAGAAAAAAACTTCCATTGAACTAAGTATGTAATGGTCATAACTTCTGTTATCCAGTATTGTAGTTTGCAGTAGATCTTTGATGACATTTCCAGTATTTCCTCCAGGGAACTGCATTTGCATTTCTAGTTACAATTAAACAAGGACAAAAGACACGAAATAAGTGCGATCTCTTATTCTTCTCTTCTTCCTCCTTTTTTTGTATGAATACTTCATAAATAACAAGACAGAATACATTTTTGTCAAATGCTAACCAAAATTTCACCCAGAATGGGTGGGTCTGACAGTTTTACACCATCTTTCTGATGATTTATGACAACCATCTCCTCATGGTTTCTAAGAGCACTGTTTCTTTGGAGATGCTACATGTAAGGCAATATAATCTTTACCTTCACTTCTTCCTTTTCCTGTCAACAGAAGCTTGTAGGGGAAAAAATGGAGAATACATTATAAACAATTACCTCTTACGCTTTCAAATAAGCTGCGCAACCTGCCCCTACAGTTTGTTACACTGGAGCAAGAGAACTCGACACAGTTGCTCCATTTTCCCATGTTTCTCTGTTGCTTGGATACTGTCCTTCAGGCTTCTACTCATGGGACTCCAATCATGCTAATACAAGTTCACCCTCTTCTACTTGTTCTTGCTGCTCAGGCAGACTTCCTTCTCGATAAGGATGTAGTATACGCTTTATATCTTCTGCATTAAGGGTTTCATACTCCAGAAGCGCATTTGCCAATGCATGTAAAGCCTTCTCATGCTGAAATAATGTCAAAAGACTGAAATCTGTAATTTGCATTATGACGAAGTTTTACATATTTTCCAATAGGTAGGTGTTCATGCAAATCCATGATGCGCCAATGCTGATTATGGGCCAATGGCCCCAAAGCAGTCGACAGAATATGCAAGGTAACTGCGGAATTGGTAAGGGCCAAGTCAATCATAGTTAGATGAGACATGCACCTAAGCAAATATTAAGGAGGAGGGATTTTCAGGGTGGCATGGCGTGGGGTGGGGTGTCAGAAAGAAGAGCAATGAGGCAAGATGAAAGCTAGAATGCTTATTTAACAGTTAAGGAGCTTCCCAGCTGTGTTGACTAATACCATAATCCAGCAACTCAGCAGTAATGGCTGACCACCATAATGGAGAGTATAGTGATAGCAACACATTAGCCTTTTGTCAATGCTGAAAAATGGACAGATTAGTGATATAAAACGCAATTCAATGCACGCGCATGATGCCTATTGTTCACTAACCAGATTTCTATATGAGCTGAGCAAGAACATCACATGGCTAAACTAAACCTAGGTTCTTATACAGGAAGACCACTGATATAAAATAAATCTCCGAACAAACCTTGTTCAACAGGGCCTTCACGCGATCATATGCCTCTCTCAGTAGCTTAAGCACCTGCACGACCATCCATAGAAAACTTAGCACAAATAGCTCACAAAAATACTTCCATGCATGCATATGACAAGAATCATACTTCTGCATCTATGCGAGATTGCATCTCTGTGCCTGGTCGCTCTTTAATATGAATCGGACCAATTGCGTTGCTCATCCCACAGTTTGACACCTTAAACCAAAAAAATCACAGATTAAGCAATCAAAATGAAATGATGAAAAGTTATATAACAAAAGAGCATTGTACAGATCCTGATGCTGACAAATTTAACTGGAGAAAAAGAAAAAACAAACACAGCCAAACTGAAATCTGACTGCTGCTCAAAAGAATAATTTTATAATTACAATATTAGTTGACTGAGTATCAATGCACTTCTAAGCATAAATGATTAACAAGCACCTGCAGCTCCTTACATATAAAATATACCAAGATACCATGGTGGTTGGAAATTACCATATACTGCACTAGTTCAGTAGCTGTTTGAAGATCACTGCTTGCACCAGTTGTGATATGATCTTGGCCAAAAATGAGCTCTTCGGCAACTCTTCCTCCCATACAAACATCAAGACGGGCTAACAACTGTTTCTTGCTGATAGATGTCTCATCACTTGATGGGAGCTGAGTGACCATTCCCAGAGCAGATCCACGAGGCATGATTGTTGCCTTATGAATTGGATGTGCTCCATCAGTGTTAAAGGCAACTATTGCATGGCCACTCTCATGATATGCAGTGAGCTGAGAAAATGGGTGTCAAGAGTCAGAAGTACAAAACATATTATGGCAAAGATGTTCTTTGACTTAATTCAAGAGATGGCAGGATCCAATTGACCTGTTATGAACATAGCATCAAACTGTGCCTACATAGTTTAATCTGTCGACATATTTGGAGGAAAAAATGTTCCAGAATACCTTCTTTGACTCTTCAGATATGAACATTGTTTTCCGTTCAGTGCCCATTATTATCCTATCTTTAGCAAATTCCAACTGCGCAGAAGTTAACTTGTCTGCCCCTTCAACAGCAGCTTTGATGGCAGCGATATTCACCAAATTTGAGAGATCTATCAAAATTGGCAGTGGTCAGAACAGTGAAGAGCTACAACAAAACATCTTCCAGATGTAAGAGACACCATTGAGATAGCAAGAAAGAGAAGTCACCTGCCCCGTTAAAGCCAGGAGTGCCACGAGCAATCGCTTTGACATCTATGTCATCTGCCAAAGGTTTATCCTGTAAATAAAGCTCTAATATCTCCTGTCGACCCTTGACATCTGGATTTGGCACGACAATCTAAAATGAAAGTTTACCAGTTTTAAGGTTCCATCAATTCCATAAACAGTTCATTACACATTAAAAACAACAAAGTTTCCATCTATGACCAATTAATCAGGTAACTTCTTATTGGGGTCTACAAAAGCAAGCACACATAACATGAAAAGGGGGAGAGAGAGAAAGAGAGAGCTCTTATATAAAGT